GAACTCTTGCACTTCTTCTGCTGCAGCTGGATGTTCAATCTCTTTTCCTGTGACGTCCCGACAGTCAATCAAACTTAATTTGTATATCAACTTTCACAGCGTCAGACTGATGCACTCCAAAAGCTACATTAAAATTATACAGTAAAGAAAAATCAATGTTGCCTCAAGTTAAAACACAATTTATCAAATGATCAAAGAGGGAAACGAGCGTCCCTCAGTCGTCATAAAGCTTCTAAAATCAGAAATTGGATATTAAATACACTCTCTCTTATCAAACCTGTAGAGCCACATAAAACTTTAAACTATTAAAACTGTTTTCACTCATATTGATTCCCCCTTTTAATCTATCAAAATTATTTGATCAGATCATCTGACTCACGGCTGATCTGCAGCCCTCTGTCCTCTGTCCTTTTTTATTTAATGTACGACGCCACCGTTCTTAATGATGCTTTTCTTCGTTATCTGCATGTGGCGACTTCTGAAAAAGATGATGCTTGTGGCAGATAAGGTCCCGTAAGCTGCCACTTGACCTCGTCCACTTCCTAACATCCTGGGCTGTGATTCGTCACAGAAACATTGGACACGATTCTGATATCGGTCCGATACATTCATATATTCTTAAGCAATAACTGCCTTAAATGAATCTATCAAACTCCCATTAATCTAAAGCGCTCACTTCCTTTTCTCCTCCAATCTGCATTATGCATGACTTAACATGATAAAAGCTTATATGTTAATGCCTTTTTAATGAGAGTGAACACAGCTGGAAACATTTCTGCTAATTCGTCTCAACAGAGACGATGAGCCTGAGATAATTGAGGTGAGTGGGGGACAGTGGTGCAGGATTAGTTAAGATTCAGAGGAGATCACCGCACCCCGACCGACAGACTGAAGGGTTCCTCTGAAATCCTTCAGACCTGAGCTGTAGGAGTTACAGTCGTGGACTCACCACCTATGTTACAGCTGATTCCCCTCCCCCAGGCCCTCCCTCCCTCCACACCCACACACTTTATTACAACCCATTAAAAAACCAAATGGGTCATAATCGAGCTTAATAAATGTCGGCATCACTGCTCATACAGGGAGGGCAGGGGGCTGAATGTCTGTTTACCTTGTACATGTGTTAATTAGCCTCTGCCATGCGTGTGCACGGCTGTGTGAGGAGATGAAAATGAGGGTAATTAGATCTGATAGCGGGGGGAGGGGCTGACGCACTGCACCTGCAGCCACATATGAGTCATTGTGTCACACCTGGGAATCTGTCTGCGGACAAACACTGCAGCGCTAAAGTGCTGTTATGTCACAAACTCAAAGCCAGGGGGACAAACGATCAGCTGACATGGACGTCGTTAAGAGTCACAATGTGTGTTTGGCTGCTTCCTGATCAGGAAACAGGTTCACGGTCACACGTAAGAAAGACTCGGATGATAATGAAAAGTCACGGATGGAAAAACAGGAAAAAAAAAGAGAGAAATAAAAATAACGTGGAGTGATCCAGTCGATGATTGTTGGTGTTTATCAGAATAAAAGTTGACCACGACTCCTCAACTGATCTCCCTGAAGTGACTGAACTTGAATCTTTTCGAACAGCTCCACAGACTGCAGAGGGTTCAGGCTCGACTCCGGGACCGACGAACGGAGACCTTTAGAAACTCTGCTGGACCAGGTTTATTTTGAAAACTCTGGGGTTGTGTTGTAGTCTGGACGGACAGAAACTGAGATCTTTGGAAACGATGAGGTCACACCCATGGTCTCTCCTGATTGGCTCTCATCAGCCTGCACTACCAGTGGTGAATACAACACTGATATTGAATCACAGTGTTACTGACCTTGTTGTCTTCACTAGCAGCTGTTGAGGTAAATTCTACATTTTACCACCACAGCTGTCCTCCTCCTCGTTGTTCCTCATTCGTAGTATTTTTTGCAACTAATCAACTGCAGAGTCGACAATCTGCTTCCTGTTTCCTGTTTTTCGCACATGCCCGGTGTACGTGATGGTTCGGGTACGTATGCATTTTCAGGTGTGGTAGTCTGGACGGAGATTGTTTCTGGACCATTAACAAAGATACCAAGTTTGTACTGACTGTGGAAACTGTGATGTCACCTCTGTATCTAGGCCAGTATTAGCACTTTAAAGCTGTTGTGTCGCTGCTGTTCTGTGAAAGTCTTGTCATTCACTCTTCCAGTTTATCCAGCGAGCCTTGAAAGATCTTTTGTGTGGCGTTGGTATTAGAATTCTCTTGAATTCTTCTTCCTCTGTGGGAGAAGAGTTTCAGGATGAGAGGCTGGTGTGACAGTCTGCTCTGGGAAAACCACTGGGCCAAAGATTAAAGGAAATTCTTTTATTATTTATTTGCTGCCGGCCACCGTCACTTGGCCATGACAGACCTTTGAAGACCGGCGGCTTTGATGGAAATGAAATTTCATTTTCTGGTGTCTTCTGTCTCGCGTCCGGCCCGTCAGACCTGTCACATCGCCACCGAGCGGGGACACCGGGGGATGACTCAGAGAAAAGGGCGGGAGACGAGTGGCGAGGACGGGACGAGCACTGATTGACAGATGACTGATAACGTTTGTGTGTCTCACAGTTTAAATCCCAGCACTGATGACAATCTGAAATCAATAGGATGTATTGGTCGAAGGATTAGTGTGATCACCTGATTGATTCTCTCATCAGGAACATGTGGAAGACTGATGCGACATTTCCAACAAACTAGTATTGATAAAGTAGTGAAGTGGTGAAGCCTCCAGGGTTCCATTTAATTAACACCTCGTTACTCCTATTTAATACATTTATATTATTATTATTATATTATAATTTCTTTGATGGTCAGACTGGATTTTATTCATTATATTTCACCGTATTCACTGTCACCTGTACAGCTGCACCACAATCATCCATGTAAATCACATCCCTCTTAATTCAACAGATGAAGTTGAACTTAGTTTTTCAGCTCAACTATTACAGGAATCAGTTTTTCACAAAGAGCAACACAGAACTTAAAATATAAGAGTAAAATATAAAAGTATAAAGTAACGAAGATTTGAGTTCCGGGTGTGACCGATGTTTTTATGAGGGGATCCCTGTCGTGTTTGTTTTGCCGTCATTTACTTTTCTGATATTATCAGTTTCTCTAAACCCTAAAAATAATTCTCAAGCCCTTTCTTACATCCCAACTCGTCTGCTGCAGCTGCATTGCATTCTGGTCCGTTTCCATGCTTGTGTGTGTGTGTTGCCCCTGCGCCTCCTCCTCTGATGGAGTTCTTCCTCTACGATTGTGTGTAATAACATCGGTGTATAACAGCAGCACAGGGAAGAAATAACATCTTTGTCTGTTCAGCCATTTATCCACATGAATAAATAAATAAAAAAACATTAAACTAAGTGTCGCAACACGTCTAACTGCTGGCGTCTAAACCGAGTTTAGCCTGCGACCTGCTGAGCTGCCAACTGGCAGTAAATCCAGAGCACAACAGGCAGGTGAGCGCTGACGCTGCTCCAGGCTCCAGACTTTCACTCTTCATAAACCTCTGTTCACTTCACGACACTCACCTGCAGCCGCTGGCGGACGGAGCCTGCTGCTAAACATTATGCAGTTTCCTCACGTGACAGGAAATCATGATTTTGAGCAACAATGTGTTTCTCGAACAGAAAGAAACAGGGCTTTTGTTGGGGACTAGTTTCAGCTGCGGATTAACTGCTGGGTGTGTTTGGAGCTCTGTGGCACAGAGGAATAAGATATCTTGGTCTTTTTCTGGTGTTTCGTTTAAAAACAATAGAATATAGTCAGACATGTCCTTTAAATCCCAAGAGCTCAGAGGTGTAATCAACACTTATTAGAAATAATATACATCAGGCTTTGGATACATTCATGGTTTGCTTTGGTGTTTTTTGTTAATACATGATGGAAAAACTGGTGTCTTTATTTGTCCTTCGTCCTTATGCTCTTATTTTGGAATCCTGCGTTTACTTTAAATTGTGTCAGGGACGAGGAGCAGCCAGATGTCAGAGTGATGATGATGGCGATGGCGATGGCTGAGAGCCCGCTGTGCAGCGTCACATATTGACACAGTTCAGTCATCACAGCGTCGGGGGGGGTGGGGGGGGGTCGGCTGCTGCTGCTGCTGCTGCTGCTGCTGCTGTGGAGGGAGCACCGTGTTTGTTCAGCTTCTTATCACAGACTGAATCACCGAGTCCAGGACGGAGCAGATCAGCTGATCGACGAGGAGATGAAAGAGTCGTCACTGTCGTTTTCTCACTGAGAAGCTGAAACATGATGCTGAGGTTTAAACCTCCACATTCTCAGGTGGATAAATATCTACCGCTGTTACAGGCCGTTACATTTAAACTAAGATAAAAAGGCTGTTATTCTACTACAGCTCCCATGAGGCTTTGAGAGTGCTGCTGTGGCTTATCCTTCACAGAGTCGGTACTGACAGACATAATCTGCTTGTAGTGCTGCATGTGTGCACACAACATAGACCTACATACATAGATCTGTTGTGATCCTATTTGACCTCATCCAGGTATTTTGTGAGGTCAGCACGTTTTCACATTCACCGTTTGATTATCAGAGCACGACGTGTGTGTTGCTCGGACGTGTTTGTGTTAAACTAGAAGTGTCAGGCTTTAAACACAACAGCGACTTTACAAATGAACCAGATCCAGAAGTTAAATGTTCCAGTTTTTGTTCCAGCGAGCGCCAAACAACAAGGGCATGAAAACAGCCCAGGGCCACTGGACATGATTAATACATCAGATACACGCTGTGTGTGTCTGTGTGTGTGTGTGTGTGTGTGTGTGTGTGTGTGTTTCAGTTACTCATCCTGGCTTCAGATTCTGGCAACATCAGACTTTCAGACTGTACTATGTGTTTGTGTGTTTGCTGTAAATGAAGATTGTGTCTTTATAACTGTGTATTTTCTTCCTCTGTGTGTGTATGTGTGTGTGTGTGTGTGTGTGTGTGTGTGTGTGTGTGTGTGTGTGTGTGTGTCTGCAGGTGGAGCGGGAGATAGCCATCCTCAAACTCATAGAGCATCCCCACGTTTTAAAGCTGCACGACGTCTACGAAAATAAGAAATACCTGTAAGTACAAAAGACCAAAATTTCAATTCGTATTATGTCTTCTTAAAAAATTCAAATTGAATGCAGCGTTAAGTGTTCAGTGTTCGGCTGAATGCTGCAGTCACACCAAGACTCAGCAGGTGGAGAAAGAACAGTTAAATTTCTGTGGACATTTTTAAGACTAATCTTGAAACCCACATGTTTTCTTCTATCACTTTGTGTTTTTATTTAAACTCTTCCACGTCTGTCTCAGACCATGAGACAGTGAATGCATCACATGTCAGCTGTTTCTATGTTGTGTGTTTTTCGTTGTATATTATTGTGCAGCACTTTGGTCAAATGTGCTTAATGAATTAACTTGATTTGATTTGATTTGATTTGATGGAACAAAACATAAAATCTAGCCACGACTAGTGCTAACGTTAGCAAGCTAAGCTAACTGGCCTCTACTGTCCAAGTGGAGCAGGTTGGGTCCTCACATATGTTAAAAAGGTGATGGTTGATGGGTAACGCTATGTGTGAAAAGGTCCTGCATCCACACTCACAGTCCTCCGCTGGTTTAATAACAACAACAACAATAATATTTATTTTATTATGATCTTTATCGTCCCCAGATGTGAAGAATTGCCTTTGGCCTCACAGGCTGTTTAAATCCACATCATATTAACACACAAACAATAAATACAACAATAAGCACAACATGCACAGTACAGACAATAATAGCAGACATGACTCCAGTGTGAATGATGCTTATGAGTTCAACGAAGTTATTGCATTCGGTATAAAGGATTTCCTGTAAACGTTCTCTGCTGCTGTGGCGGCTCCACGGCGTTTTCCCTAGGTGTCATGTCGACTATCAAATATCAGTCAGGTGAAGTCAATTTATTTATGTTGCACAATTTCACAAATTTGCCTTGAGGCGCGTTACGACCTGCACAGCTCACAGCACCCTCCGTCCTCAGACCCTCGGATCAGGAAAGACCATCACAGACTCAGTGTCCCGGGAAACTCTCAGGCTGAGACGCCGTTTCCATTAAAAACGTGTTTTTGTTTTGGAGAAATAGAAAAATATTCGCCGTCATAGTTTACATCTCTTGACCTCTGGCTGACAAACGACACTGATAATGTGTAAAGATGAAATCATGTCTAAGTCAGACTCAGGACGGTCGTCAGCGAGGCGGCAGTTTGAGCTCTGGGATTTTATTAAAGCATGAACTGTCTAACATGCCCCCCTGCCACTGTGCAGCTTTAACATATATCCCTGTTTTATTGTGTACATTAATCTGCTGCGTGCAGCCGTTGTGCTCCAGCGTCGTGGCTTAATACGCCGTTCAATAATTGATAAAGGCGCCGCCGTCAAATGGAGCAGGAATTTGTTTTCTTAATGATGCGGGGACAGGGACGGAGGGTCATCATGGATGCAAAGAGTTTGCCGCAGAAAATTTCACACTTGCAAATCACACGCGAACATGTTTCTAATTTAAATAGCCCTGACAGGTAAACGCTCCAGCAGATCCCTTAATCTGCTAATAAATCAGGCGGCGGGGAGGACGGGCTGCAGGAGGAGCCGGCTCTCCACGCCGAGCGGGGATCAACGACGTCTCTGAGATAAATGAACGTAGGACACAGATAAAACATTTTAAACCACAAACCAACAGAGGCTGAGGATTTTCTCAGGGATTTACATCATGCATCGACGGTGACTTCAGCACGTCGCAGCCAAATACTTTGTAGTTTATGACTCAATTATTTCATTAATGCCTTTTTCATTTTGAGGACAAACAAAACAGACGACGTCCTCTGATACGTCTGTTTAATCTCTGTGGAAATTGTATTTACCCAGGTGCTGTGCTGGTTTACGTTTGACCACTGCGGTCTGTTCCCGCTCTCTTCCTGTCCCTCCTCCAGGTATCTGGTGCTAGAGCATGTGTCCGGGGGGGAGCTCTTCGACTACCTGGTGAAGAAGGGCCGGTTAACACCTAAAGAGGCCAGAAAGTTCTTCAGACAGATCATCTCCGCCCTGGACTTCTGCCACAGCCACTCCATATGGTTTGTTATCCTTACACTCAGCTGTCGTCATCATCATCATCATCATCATCAGCTCTTCGTCAGAGCATCAAAGAAACAACACGTGTGTAGCAGAGACTCCCATGGTTTTATTATCTAATAAATAAGGCGACAGAGATGATCATTTGTTGATCGGTGGTTTGGTTCGGCCGCTGTGTCACACACAGGTTTCTCAGGCTTTTCAATTTTTGGAAAAATATTATTTCCAAATGTTCTCTCTCTGTTGTGCGTCTCCTAGGTCTGAAAATACGTAGCGGGTCATATTTTAATATTTACTATGGATTCACACTCCTTCCTCACTGCCAGAGGTGGACACAGAACACAGCTCCGTCACTGGAGTGAAAGTACAGATCCTCTCTGTCAAATACGAAGTGAAAGTTGTTCAGTCGGATTTTTACTTGAGTTAAGTTGCAGTTGTTTACTAGTTGATTTTAAAAATACTTAAGTACAAAAAGTCAATTTTTGTCAGTGAATAGTTGTTTTGTTTCACAGCGTATTTACAGCTACTGAAACACTGACTGACTGTCGAACCTCTAAAATGTCAAACATCGTTAAAACCTGCCACCAAGTTCAAACTGAGCCGTTCAAAAACGCAAATGCAGCAAGAACAACACGACGGACAGTGGAGGAGTCTGTTATGAACACTGTGTATGGTCTGTCACATTTTCAAAATAAAAGAAAAGTCATTCACTGACTAAAAGCTGCTTCAAAGTAAGAGTTCTTCATAGAACTGTAGCGGAGTTAAAGTCAGAAGCTAAGTAAAATACAGCTACTTGAAAATATAAGTACAGTACTCAAGTAAATGTACTGTGTTGCTGTCCAGTCAAACTGTGTTACGCAGGTGTTTTGTTCAGGTGACATAGAGGGAAAATATGGCTTAAATTTGCCTGTTTGGCTTTAGCTGCGAAGTATGAGGGAGGAGAGACGCACCTGATTAATCACTGCTGCCTGACCTCTGCAACTGTGTCTGAAATCTAACGTCCGGGGGAAAGCAGGTGAGAAGCACACCTGTGAATGGACAGGTGCGTCGGAGAAGAAAACTCCCCACTATCCAGTACACATGCAGCTAGAAAAATGTATTTGACAGTGTTTTAAATAAAATAACCTGATGACGGTCTGAGCAACAAAACGTTGTCAATACATGTTTCTAATTACAGGTGTATTAGACCTGGAAAAGCAGGTAAAATCTACAGCTCAGTTTCATCAGGCTCACGTAGAGAGAGAGAGAGAGAGAGTGTAGCCAGGCTGAAACAGTGTGAGACAGATGGATAGAGATCAACTATCTCAATAGTTGAGACAATGGAAAGACTTCAGTGACAGCAGGTGAGAAGCTGCAACAGATTAAAAGATGTTTATGAAGTGACTTTACAGTAGCTCCTGTTTAGCCCCCCAACACGAGACAAAAGAGCAGCTGCTGTTATTTTTCACTTCTGCACCTGTTTCCCTCCATCATGGCCGCCTGTTGGAAAATGTTTCCAACCTTTCAAAGCTTTGTGTCAGCTCCAGTCCAGCATTGTGAGTGAAGCAAACAATAATGGTTATTATTATTAATCTTATTAAAGAAGTTTGAGAGTTTAACCAAAACTTTCTTACATTGATTATTCACTGATCTTTTTCAGGCTGTTTAAAGCTCCTCCAGTGTAAAGGTCTGTGTCCATGTGTAGTGTGATTATAGATCAGGTCTAGCTTCTATATTAATACTGTGAAAGTATCAAAGCCTCAGTCCACAGAGAAATGCACACAGCCTGTATTCAGAAACTGAGCCTTAAAACCAGCCGTCAGGACTTCTGGAACTTTGTGATGTCACAACAAAGCAGTCACCAAGCCCCGCCCACCTGGACCCACCATCCAAACCTTGCAGGATTTGGTTTCTCTGAGTGTTTTTACCTGAAATCTGCTATATTTTTATTTTTATCACTCCTCTCTTCTAATGGCTCACCGACCTGTTGTTACTAGAGCTCCAGAGAGAAGCCTGAGAGAGGAGATGTAAAACTACACTGAGATGGTTTTCGGTTCTTAAAACCACAAATATATCTTCTTATAGATCAAAACTTCAAAATAAAACACAGAAGAAGAAGAAGCTGTGGAGCTTTAAGATTTCCTCACACCCGTCCCTGTAGTCGGGTCAGTACAAACCTGCAGTGTTTTCTCAGTTCAGCAGCAGAAACACTTTATTTTGTAACGTGTTGTTTTCCTGACAGGTTGTTGGACAGAGACTAATTAACAAACATGGATTATCAGGTTGCTGGTTTGTTATCCAGACATGTTCAACACACATTAAATTAACCCAGCATCAGATTTTATTTAGTGGTACTTTTGGCTCTGGCCTCCGTGTGAGTACGCTACTAAATTAAACTGTAATGAAGCTAAATTGGAACGACTGACACTGAATTTGCATAAAGCTTAGTCACTATCCCAAATAGTGTAGAGTAAGTGAACTAGAGAATGCAATTGATGAAAAATACTACCTCCAAATTAATTTTCCACCATTTCCATATGAAATCATATTCCTGAAAGGTCTGAAGTGTTGGCTCCGTTTTGATGGTAGAACAACAGGTTTCCTCCTGCCTGACTCCTCCTCAGCCTCTCTCCTCATCAGCTGTAGCCGGGGGCGACTTTAGAGGCTCCAGCTCCTCTTGATCTCTTTTCATCTCTCACAGCACCTTTAGTTCCTTGATGCACGGCTGCAACACTGTGTTTCTAAGAGCAATTGCACTTCAAAGAACTTCTGCCTCTGACTCTCAGCATTAGATATCAAGTGTTTGGCTTTGAAGGACTAGATTTATTCTACAGTGTGTGTTTTTTTTTTTTTGGGTGGAAACAAGGAGGTACAAGACCAGGGTCAGAGGAGTCCAGGCTAGTGGTTTCACTTCTCTCATCCATTTTGAATAAAAGGAGGTAGATCTGATACTGCCTTGGACCTCCTTTACACCTGGAGGGTATCAGTTCTTCATGATTGGAAGTCTGAGATCCTTTGGACCCTGTTTCGCCCGAACTTTAGCCGACTTGCTTTTAAGTTTCTTAAAACTTAAACCATAGTTGAAACTTAAAAGAAATTGGCTACAGTTGTTACAGTTGCTTCTGTATTCAAATAGTGTCCTGGATGTTGAGAATCTTTATTTACCTTGAGGTCCTCAACCAAACAGACCTGTGGGAAACCCTCTTGAACCAAGGCGCTGTAAAGACCTCGTCAGTCTGCCCAGTCAAGACACGAAAAACAAGCTGATGACAGGTAGAGGAAGTCATTGCTTTGTCTCAATCTCTGTCTTCTGTTTCCTGTTGTCCTCCAGCCACAGAGATTTGAAGCCCGAGAACTTGTTGTTAGATGAGAAGAACAACATCAGGATAGCAGACTTTGGCATGGCGTCTCTGCAGGTCGGGGACAGTCTGCTGGAGACCAGCTGTGGGTGAGTTCAAGCCTGAACTTTGAGTGTTAGGCCCTAAAACATAAAAATTGTTGGTACCAACAGTGATGTAAATCATGATTGCTTTTAGCCCATCCTGTATCCTTCATCTTGATTTGAATGTTTTCTTTTTCACCTATTTTAATCCAGTATTCATCCAGTCTTTGTCGACTCTTCACGTTGCAGCTGACACAAGGGGCACTGAGCAACATTAGCATACATTAAAAGTAATGTTTATATCCATATTTTAGCTCTGTGTTTGGTCTCCTCCGGCTCCTGAGGGAAATATCTGGCTCTTCAGCTACTAAATGCTTCACTGTGTTCACCAGCTGCTCTCTGACTGAGTCTGTCTGCTGTCTGCTGCTGAGCAGGTGGTTAACAGAGAGTTCATCAGAGCTTGTTTGATGAAAACACTGAGACTGAAACAGACAGTAAATGTGCAGTAAACAACCAAAACAAGGAGCTGAAAAAGGCTAAAAATGCCCGTAGAGCTGCAGAGTGCAAAACAACCACCAGTCATTGTTAATATGTGAAGCTTTAAAACAGCACACCTGAGCCCAGCTGTAGTGAAACGTGCGTCTTGTTGATTCAGGCAGTTGTAAGTTTTATAAGGTCCTAGTTGTTTGTTCTGCAGGATACAAGCCGGTCCCGCAGGTAACCGCAGGCCGACCAGTGTTTCATGGAGTCAGTCGTGTGGAACGACTAAAGCCCGACTCCTCCGGCTCAGAGATGCAAAGCCCGAGAGAGAACATGGAGTGACTGGGAAAATGCTTTGCCCACAGTTACTCATTAGTCCTCATTGTAATTCAAACAATTGAAGGCAGCGGTTTGCCTGAAAGTAACGCACCACAGTAATGTTCTTTTCTCTTTTCTTTATTCCTCATGCGTTCTTTACAGATGAGTTTTTAGGAAGCAAAGGAGTGAGTGAAACAAAAATGACCATCACAATTAGAATGAATCTGGTCATCTGAAGTTCAGATGATGTAGATTTTCTAGATGTTAAAATTGAACCAATGTTGGTTGAGAAAAGTTTTTTTTTCAGATATGAAGGTTCCATGTAACTATTTATACATCAGCTTTTAAATAATTAGATTTTAATGTAAATCAAGTCTTAATTACACATTTAAATATAGTCAGTGAAATGCTTTTGGATCGAGACGTTTAAAAAGTCAAATTTATTCTTAAAGTATTTCACCTCCAGGTCCATTTCCTGTCTTGTTCTGGACCAGAACACACATTTCCAACTTTTCATTACAATGTAAAATAAAATGATGCGCGCTCTTCCAACACTTGCATTATGATCTTTTAGAGGGAATTAGATTTCATGGAGTTTATAACCTTCATACATTATGCATTTTACAAAAATAAAACAAGTTAGCACAATCTAATTACTGACATTACCTGCACAGTGGGTCCACATCAAGGCTTGTCAGTGTCAGATCATAACACCTTTGCGGCGTCAGTCATTGATTCTGCACTGAACCGCAAACCTCACACCTCTGTGTTTTTAACGTGTGTTTACATTCAGGTAAATCTGCGTCATGAGTCACACCGCTTTGAGCAGGAGAGACTTCGTTCTGAGTGAATGAATTAACTTTTATTGCTATTTGGTGATTAGACGCCATCGTGATGTCATCAGGTGTGAAAGGGGGTGAGGCTGCTGGGCGCAGTCACTGGTGGCGATGGGAAGAAGAGACGCTGAAAATCTGGATGTGATGTGGACTCTGAAATGACAGCAGAAGAAAGGAGAACAGATACTGAAGTTACAATGTGATTGGCTGGTTGAGGTTGTGACAAATTCTGATTGGTTACCGAGGTGAGAGAGGGAGAGGATTCTAGAGTCGACTCCAATCAGCGCTTATCGCCATTATTGATAAATAACCTCACACCAGCGAATAATGAACAAAATCTAAACATTTTTCTTTTATTCCAAATGTTCACATTAGTAGAATTAGTAGAATTTTCAAAATATAAATATGAAGAATATGAAAAACGTTGAAATTTTCAGACTATACATTATAAAGAACAATAAAAGCCTAAATAAATAATTAAATAACACCAACATAAATAACCCACTTTATAAGGCCTGTGCTCATCAACGCATGAAGCTCCTTGTTGGAAGTTTGTCGTTGCAAATCGTCCGTTGGTTGTTTTAAGCGGAGTTCAGTTTGTCGGCCCTTCGGCGTGGGCCCCTGACAGCCTGGACCCTTTTTTCCCCTATGACTTCTAAATGGATTTATTGACATTTAATAGACGTTTTGCGGGCCGCTGTAAAAAGTGAGTGAGCGACAGTGTGTGTACGATGAGTTATGACTCTGACAGCTGCTGTGGTGGTTGAGCGGTCAGTGTTATTTGGGGCGGCGGGTGATAATTACTGAGAGATTTGCATACGTCCTGATGGTCTGGTAGATCAGAGCTGTGAGGATGTGTCAGATTAGTCTTCCGCACGTCAGCGGCTCAGACAGTTTTCACGAAGAACCACTGATGGAGCCTGTAAATATCTCGCATGAGTAACAAGTCGAATGGCTCCTCCACTTCATGTGACGTTAATGGAATTTATTAAATGTCACTCAGCGACGACTGAGCACAAGTCTCCTCGGGCAGGAAGGAGGAAGATTTGCTCGGCTGCAATTAGATTGCAGTTAGTGTATTTTGACACGAGCTCAGATTGACTTGTTTTCACCTACATTAGCATAATTAAATACGATGTTGGCCGTGATGGAGAGTGTGTTTACTCTGGGAGTTTAGATGAAACACTGTTAGGAGAAGTCGATCTCTCTGCTCCGTTTGTTACGATTAATCCGCACAGAGGAAGAGCAGTGTGTGTTCTCGCTGCTGCGAGTGTGTCATTATCTGATTATGAGTCTTATGCATCTGTGAATGTTGTGATTTCACTTTATCAACAGTCCTCCTCTCCTCCTCCTTCACTTCTTTATTTTCTTCCTCATCTGATCTGAAGGCATGAAAATCCTTGAAATGAGATTTTCATTCAACAGAACAACTTCATCAGTATCAGTTATTTTAATTAGTTGTTGCTGCTTTTTACTCACCGGTGGTTTCATGTCACATATTGAGCTTCTGTTGATTGACGCCTGGTCACTTCTAGAAATGATTTAAAAGATTTCCTCTTGACATACGGAGCATCAGGTGATCAGGTCAGTAGTTGTGTTGAGGAGCTGAAGGTTCTGGCTGCTCCAACGCTGAAAACTGAAGGTGGTTGTTCTCGTGTTATTGATCCTCTCTGACTCTGGAACAACCTCTCACAAACCAGATCAATACGTCTTTTTATTACCATCTTAATCTTTGTTTCTTTGGCTTTCTCTTGATTTTGTGCTTTACGCACTTTATCTCTTTGCTTTAGAGTATAAAATTAATTAATTCAATTTTTGTTATTGTGTCATATATATAACTACATCATAAATCCATACAAGGCAGAACTGTTTTATATCTTTTACAATCAGATCATTAGCCCGTCATTGTTCACAACAGAATTCATTAATCGTAGACGGAAAAGAGAGTTTAGCTTATCTACAACAGATCACATATACAATATAAAACATTAGAAATGATCATTTTCTTCCATTGGTATCCACATTACTTTGATTCATTTCTGTACAATAATAAAATACATTATAAATGGTTGAAACTTCCTTGAGTTGTTTATCATCTTAATATATAAATGAATATATGTGTCATGGTTTGCTATGGCAAACACTTTTTGTTAGTTTTGTTTGGACTTTTCTCACTTCCTGTTTTATTTTGTAATTGGTTTCCTTGTGTGTCTCAGTGTTTTGCTTCCTGTCTTGGTCCTGTTTTCTGTGTGGTGATTGTCTGCCCCGCCCTAATGTGTTTCACCTGTGTTCAATCACCCTTGCCTCCCTTGTCTATATAGTCTTTGTGCTCCTCTTTGTCTGTGTCGGTTCGTCTGTTGTCTCTCTGTTATTCTCTAGATTTTCCTCGATCTGTTCATGTCTGTCTAACCATCAATCTGTTCACGTGGCCTGTCCATGTCTGGTTTGTTTTCGGTCTGTTCATGTTACCTGTTCATGTTCTCCTGTTGTTATCCCCTGTGGTTCCCTGTGTTGTTGTATAAGTTCCTTTTGTTAGTTTAATAAACCTGTCTGCACCGTCTCCCATGCGTTGGCTGCATTTTGGGTCCTACTTACCACAACACCCTGACAGAATATAAATATTTTTGTAAAGTTACAAAAGGTACAACTTTTAAAGTTATTTAATGTAGAGCAGAAGTTTCAAATCAATATGCACCTGATCTGCATCGATGTGCAGCAGCGATGTAAAGTATCACCTCAGTAACACAGTAGAAATAAAAGTAAAACTTCTTCATTACAAATACAAGTCAGTTGCATTTGAAATGTTAGTTATGATATTAATTTCTAGGCTTCAGCTTATTTACAATAATATCAAATATCGCAATATTTCTACATCGCCATGTGCAATAATTTTCATAATATCCTTTTTTTTAATAAAAATAATGAATTAAAGATTCACCCCAATCTCCTGCGATAATATTGTACAAGTCGTGATATTTGGGCTCAACTACATGAAGATATTACATTTTTAAAAATCACTAGACCCCAGTTTTAAATTACAGTAAAATGTACAATTCAACATCTTCTCCCGCCACTGTTGTTTGCATTTAAAATGTGTCACATCGTGGCAGCCACTTCCTGTTACGTAATCCTCACTTAGCTGACAAAAAAAAATGATGAACCATGTCAGGCTGTAGTTTTTTTTTTCTTCATGAGTAAAGTGGTTTATAATTCTTATGTCAGACGGTTTGTGCAGAGCTTCACCTGGTCTCTTATTCCTCAGTGTGTGATGGTTGTGGCTGCTGGCTGTGTTCCCTGACAGTGTGTGTGTGTGTGTGTGTGTGTGTGAGTGTGTGTGTGTGAGTGTGTGTGAGTCCTTTCCACCATAACCGCTGCTCTTTGCCTCTCTTCCAGATCCCCGCACTACGCCTGCCCAGAGGTTATCAGGGTAAGTGCTCTCTCTTTCTTTCATACAGTAATAGCAGCTCCGACAGGAACGGCTCTTACATCACTGCTCCGTCCTCGCTGATTTCACTCTGTTCCTGACCCCCCCACCCCCACCCACCCCACCACAACCCCCACCCCCCAACTGGGTTAAAATATAGTTACATAAAAAAAAAAATCATCTTTTTGACATGTAGCTTTGTATTTTTGCGTAATATCTGACATGTCTGTCCCTTTATCAAGAGTGATGTTGCCATATATGTCACCTATCAGGGGAAATATTACTATCACATATAAACAGTTGATAACATATATACCTATTCAAAAATATTTATGTATATGCTATGTACTTAAATGTTTTTCTTGTTTATTTCTTATTAATTTTAGTGTTTTCAGACTTTTTGAACCCACTGTATTTATATAACATACGTTTGTTTAAAGTATAAACACACAGACATAAATGCCAATATATGAAAATGTTCTACTTTCTAATAGGTTTTATGATAATTTTTTACATATATGTTTTATTTTATATTTACAAACAGTATATTTCATATATGGCAATTAAAAAAATAGCAGATGGGAATCTGAAGTGACGACGCTTTCTTCCCTGTATCTACTGCACAGCACAGATGATGACTTTCTTATTCATTTCTCTTTTTTATAAACAAGCTGTAGGTGTAGTTTTAACTTTAATACACGAGTCAGAAGAGTTTGTATTTTTGCACTTTTCCCTCTCAAACAACCTTCACACCACCTCCAGTTCTCCTCGTACACCTGCTCCTCGGGTTCTTGGCAGGTAGGTTGTTCCGGCATCTCGGAGAACCTGCCTCAGCTCTTCTGTGGATATGAAAGATTTTCAAAAATAAATGTTACCAGAAAATAACGGAAAACATGACGAGGAGTTAAAATGACAGGATCTATATATTGCTGGGGACAGTTCAGCGGCACCTGGAGGTTCCCGGCGCTCCGTACCCAGATCTACGCCTACAGACGAGGCGGCTGGGTGCACCAGAGAAGTCAAACTCTTCCTCCCAAAATAACTCCTGCAGTGCCGTCAGCATCACAACTTGCTGATGTTATACTGTAGGAATATCCATACATAGTATATACACTATATATGTATAAATATATATTTATACAGGTGGATTTTTCCATTAAGTAAGATCCAAAGACTCAGAGCGTTCGTGGTGATTTGCAGTTTGGGAAATGGCCTCAGAATGAATGTTGAGCATATGATACAAGTCTCATCTGTCTGTCTGTCTGTCTGTCTGTCTGTCTGTCTGTCTGTCTGTCTGTCTGTCTGTCTGTCTCAGGGGGAGAAGTATGACGGGAGGAAAGCAGATGCATGGAGCTGTGGAGTCATCCTGTTTGCACTTTTAGTGGTGAGTGACGGCTGCTCCACAACAGCAGAAAATACACTGACACATTCTGATACTCTGAACGTCCTGCTCCTCTGTACCTCAGTCTTTACTTCCTCCATCTTAGTTTCCCAGGCTTCAGTTAACACTTTATTTTGAAGGTTAAAATGTCAAACTACAGTGTCCTGGATTCTTGATGTTAATTTTTTTCACAACCTTTTCATCAGGGAGTCTCTGAAATTATAAATGATCTTCATGATCTTTTCATACTCATCGTGTGTTCGTCTATTTCTACACAACATGCTATCACAGGAAAACCTGCCCCTGGTTTGATGCAGTGTTGGGGGGGGGGGTGAGAAGTTGATTTAGTTTGTTCCTGAGGCAAATATTTACGCTGAATGAAGCAGCAATTCCCAGCAGAATATCCAAGGTGAAGACAAAGGTCAGAAAAACGTTTCAGCACAAAATAAACTGCAGCACCAGGGAATTAAAGGTTAACATTCAAACACACTGGTGGACGGGAACGTGTTGGTGTTGTTGTTATTACTGAAGGTCGCTGTTAAAGGCAAATCTGTGATCTGCACATCTGACTTTTAATGTGCTGTGCTTGTTGTTAGTGTTGGGAATATGGGAAACGTGTTGATGCTGTAACTTCGTGAAAAGTGTTGCAGTCGATGAATGTTGGTCTGAGGTTTTACACCAGCTGGGATTAAATTAAAAATGAGATGCTGGAAACATGTTGTGTACCGATAAAAGATTGAAACCGCATTATAAATTAACTGAGTGCAGACATAAAGCTCTCCTGGACCTCTATTACTCCATAACAAACATTGTCTCGAGGCAATTTACTGCGTCAGGACGAGACCGTAGAGTAGGATCGAGAGAAACCAAACAGTTCTCACAATGAGCAAGACCTCGATCAAATGATCGGTCACGAAACAAGAAATCAGTAAAATCAATACATGCAGCATGCGCTTCACGTTTTACCCATGAACGCTTGGAAAATTCACAAACTTTAAATCCAGCAAAATACAAAATAAATTGACCCTGATTTTAGAAAAAAGTTAAGTGTAAGTCAGTTTTAGCCACCACTTTGGTCCTGAAATTTTGTACAGATGTTCATGATTCCCAGAGGATGAACTGACTTTTCACCCAGCGTCACCAACAGGTCAAAATGTCCACTTCCTCGAAGGCTTCAGTTCACGACAGGATGCTTCCAGAAACTACCTCAAAAACAGGGTTAGATTGAAGGTAGCATGCAAGTCTGCTAATGTGCTAAATGTTAGCATGTTTGCATTAGCTTCCTCCTCACCATGGCAACCGGCAACAACAAGAGCTTTAGCCGCTTAGTGCTAAAGCTCCCTTTATTGGGTCTGTCTGTCCCATTCTCCTGGACGGGATCTCTCAGCAAGGCCTTAACAGAACTTCTTCAAATGTGGCACAAACAGAAGTGATTCGATTTTGGTGCTCAAAGGTCAAAGGTCAAGGTCACGGTGACCTCACAAAAACATGATTTTGGCCTTGTGAGCTTAATATCTGGAGAACCCTTCGAGGGAATCCCTTCAAATGTGGCACAAACAGTCACTTGGACTCAAGAATGATCTGATTAGAGTTTGGTGGTCAAAGGTCAACGTCACTGTGACCTCACAAAAAATGTTTTTGGCCATAACTCATGAGTTCATACACTAATTATGACACAATTGAAGTCAAATTTTGACTTCAGCGTGACATTATTACGTTCTGTAAAAAACACAGTTGGTGGAGCGATATAACCACGAGGTGATAATTCTAGTAGTAGATAATTCTACACTGGAGACTTTCATCTCATACAGATAAACCAGAAACTTTTTACCACTGCAGTTTCCTGGAGAGGTCTGACCCTTTATGTTGGATTTGACATCATGTCTGATCTTTACGTCGCTTTTAAAAGCTTTTACTGCTGGTACAGTCTCTCTGACCAAACAAAGCAAACTGGTCATGTTTGTATTGGTTTGTCTGGTTTGTCTTAATTGATTTGTGGTTTCACAGTTTTGTTTTTTTTTAAACATTCCCATTTAAGATTTTTGAATGACAGCTTTGCGCAGTGTGTGAATCAGACCGTGTCATTCAGACCGCTGTGTAGTACAAACGCTCAGCAGCACTGTCAAATAAAAATGCACATCACGCAACAAAAGCTTTTCATAGCAGCAGCTCTATAATGCGACAGTGACAAGTGAGCAGTCAGAGAACCAAGTAAATAACTATGTTTGTTTGTGTGCCGTGTGCACGCATGCGTGTTCCTCCCCTGATTAAGACAAAGCACATAAAACAGTCATCATCATGTGAAGATAAATGTCTCCACTTGTGTTGTTTTGATTACCCACGCAGTGTCAGTGGCCATCTGGCTCCGTCCTGCTCGTTTTCAATGAGGAGGAAACAGTATCAGTCGTCAAGTCGCTGAGCGCGCTCCCCAGCTGGAGAGCTGAGGCAGAGCCGGCTGGCTGCAGCACAAACTGCTTCATCATCACCGGCTCTGATGACTGATATCTCTCACAAGCTGCCTCCAGTCCTCCTCTTTGTCAGAACCCGCATTATCTCTCAGCGAACACCTGACAGGCCATTTACATGACAACAGGAAGATGTCAGTGCGGGGCATTGTGTGAGCTGGTGAAGGGGCAGTTTGATGCCCGCTTTGTGTTTTCAAGTGTCCCAGTTGTACGGTTTTGATTTTTGCCCAGTGAGCGCTGGGTTTTGAGAAAAACAACTGTCGGCCATTTTGCCATAGAATCTAGAGCCACACAGTGAATGATTTCTGATGGTTTTTGTGACCCCATGACTTTTTCCTCCAGCACCACCGTCAGGCAAAATCCTTCATTTGTAAAATGTAAAAAATCCTCCCTGAAAAACACAAACCCATCGGCCCAGCTGATCCAAAAACAGGCAAAGAGGAGGGGCGTGTGTGGAGCTGAGACTTCGGTGCATGCATACGCTCACCCACCTGTTATTGTAAGCATGATAACAAAGGTCATCTAACCTCAACACAGTACTTATTTTAACCCAAATCGCGATCTTTTCCTAAACGGAACCACATACGTCTCTTACAATGACCCGAGAGCTCTTGATATTTGCTTTAGAGACAATTTAATATCAGATGAGTTTGTATAAACCCGTCTGTCACTTCAGCACCACGGACAGCGTCACGGTTCCATCAACACACAGAGGATGGAGGTTTGTGCTACATGTCAGATTATCAGGTATCTTTAACAAATGTACTCATTATCCATAAAACTACTGACAGTATAACTGAATATAAATGAAATGACAGAGTTAAATGTGACAAAAACGTATAATTACCCGCTAAATCTTTAGCGTATTACAGGTTACGGCAAACTAGTCTCTCTCCTGTAGTAGACAGTCGAGCTGCAATGGTAGGAAGTGTCGACATAAAATCTACAACAGTTCAAACCAAAGTTGAACTTGATGCAAAAGTTTTGCACAGATTGATTTCGCCCCTGCTACAAAATCACTAGTTTCGCATCCGAGTTAATTGATGTTTCCTCTCCCTGCTCCTCCAGGGCGCTCTGCCTTTTGACGACGACAACCTGAGGAATCTTTTGGAGAAGGTGAAGCTGGGAGTTTTCCACATGCCTCACTTCATCCCTCCGGACTGTCAGAACCTTCTGCGCGGCATGATTGAAGTGGACGCCACCAAGAGGCTCACGGTAAGCCACTGTACACGCCTCACCCTCACTCAGCGAGAGAGAGAGCTGAAATCTTCCGTCAGGAGACTCGTGCTCGCTTTGTATTTTCACAGTCTGGGCTGTTGCTTTAGGGACAGCTAAGGCTAAATTTAGCAGAGTTGCACCATGACTGGCCCTGCAGCGACTGTGCTCTGCATAAAATCTTTTCATCTCAGGCCAAGGATTTGTTTTGGCTTAGAATAGAAACATTACAAAAATAACAAAGGCTGTATTAGATAATGTGCTTTCTCTTCTGTTCTGTCTGTGGCTGTTTGAACTTGGAGCAGTTGTTTTTGGCAACATCCCGCTGCTGATAAGCCTTCAAATTGGACTTCCATAATCACAGCCTTTTCACAGATACCCTGCAACACCATACCCACGTCACTGCAGAGATAGTTTCACACACTCACATTCACCTGACCTGCTCATCTTTGGGTCTGTGGGAGGAAACCAAAATCCGAGCACCCCGAGAAAACACAGGACGCAAGTACAGAGAAAGAACTGTAGCTGTGAAGTTTCAGATTAAAAGTCTAAAGCTGTAATAATATGACCATTAATACATTGTACTTTCTTATATAAGAATCACCATTAAAGCTTCGACAATCTGATCATAGGTTTGTGGTGACACCTGCACACCCACTAGATTCACCAGCACCAGCATCAGTAACATGGGCCAGTCTCCAGCTCTTTCCTGCTCTAGCAGGCTTTTTCCTGCTCCAACAGGCCCTTTCCTGCCCTAGCAGGTTCTTTCCTGCCCCAACAGGCTCTTTCCTGCTCCAACAGGCTCTTTCCTGCTCCAACAGGCTCTTTCCTGCCCCAACAGGCCCTTTCCTGCCCTAGCAGGCCCTTTCCTGCCCTAGCAGGCTCTTTCCTGCCCCAACAGGCTTTTTCCTGCTCCAATAGGCCCTTTCTTGCCCTAGCAGGTTATTTCTTGCCCCAACAGGCTCTTTCCTGCTCCAACAGGTTATTTCCTGCCCCAACAGGCTCTTTCCTGCCCCAACAAGTTCTACCTGTCAAGATCATAGAAACTAAACTTAGCTTAACCTCAGCTTTAAAGGGGTAATGCACCAACTTTTCTGTTTATTTTTGTTTTTGTGTGGGGGGGGGGTCTGAAGACTACAAGTAAATAAATCTCTATGCCGTCTCTACTGCAGGCTAGATGCTACAATATCACACCCAACTGTTAGTGGTCAGGTTGCATTGTGGGTAATGTAGGCGCCAGGTTTTGACAAGGAAAGGGAAAAGGAGTAAAAAGAATGAGTGTAGAAGAAGTGTTGTAGAACTGTTGAACTAAATCTTTTAAATTTAAAGCTCACGGTTGGTGATGGGGTTTGTCAGTCCTACTTAAAGAGGAGGAGTCTGTATCCAGCCTGACAGGAAGTGCTGCCTCACAGGCTCGCTGCAGGGAGTTAAAGTCCTAATTGTCCTGGATGTGTTTATTTTAAACACTTGTAATTGGATAGAAAACATGTAATTGGTTCTTGTTGAGTCTTAATAATAACCTAGCTATAATAAACTTCACATACTGGCCCAACATCCTGGTTCATGCAGAAAAATATCAAATGCAAGAGAAAGTCTTTTCTTGAGACTTAATTTATAAATACAGAGTCAATAATGTTTGTTTCCTGCTCTGATTTTCTCTCACAGTTAGAGCAGATCCAGAAGCACACGTGGTACCTGTAAGTACATCCACCTGTCGTTTCTTTTCCTGTTTCTGACAGTGTCTGTATATGTATGTCCACATCAAGTGAGTTTATAGAAGAAAACACGCAGCAGCAGATAATACAGTAACAATAATGATAATAATAACACACTCATCAAAGCCAGTTCTTGATGGAAACCTCTCAGAGAAGAAGCAGCTCCATTAGTCCTGAGATCAAACGTCAGGACGCTGCGTCCTAATGGACCTCTGATCTCTAATGGATTCACTATTTCTGGGCTTCAAAAAGCAGAATTCTGTTAATGACTCGATATAATGTCGACCGAAAGATCAGCAAACTGATTCTTTATTAAATGTTTCACATCACTCAGTGCTGGTTTCTTATATATACAGTTTGGCTTTTATTGTTGTAGTTTTTCTATCAGTAATTATATTATTGTTCTCGCCAAAGTAAGAGCTGGAATCTGGGAACTCAGAAATCAGATGGGTCAATGAACACGAGCAGTCAGACGATCATCCGGGTCAGAGACAGTTTATCCAGATTATTTTTAGGGTGATAATTTTTGTCTGACCTGCAGGTTTGTTTCCAACCTGTCTGACAGTCTGACTTCATGTTTCGACCCCACACCTCATGACACTAAAACACTAAAATCAATGTTTTTATGTGCAATTTTTATTATTATTGATAAATAATAATTGGCAAAACTACAAAACTACAGCATCTAATTAATTGTATCTGAAATACGTCCTTTGTCCACATGTGGCCAGTTCAACTAAAAGGTCCAAGTCGTAATTCACAAGAAAAAACTGCAAAGAACTTAAGTTGTTTTTATTTCTATCGACCAATATCACAAATCGCAAAACTGCCTCAAGGGGGTTTTAAGGTTTTGAGCGTTCCTGCTCTGATAATCATGTGGCTTGTCAGTGAGTTGCATGTGTTGTGTTGCAGAGCTGGGAAGAACGAGCCTGAGCCGGAGCAGCCCGTCCCCAGGAAGGTGGCCATCAGGACGCTGGCTGCGGCCGAGGAGATCGACCCCGACGTACTGGAGAGCATGCACTCTCTGGGCTGCTTCAGAGACAAGGACAAACTGACCAAAGACCTGCTGTCTGAGGAGTGAGTGAGGAGGAGGAGGAGGAGGAGAAGGGGGAGGAAGGGCAGAGGGAGTGAAGAAGTGCTAAAACCACAGAGGAAGCAGATTAAAGTGAGAGGGAGGGAGGGAGGGTGAAGGAGCTGAGAGGGGCAGACAGACTGTCACTTTGATGAATTCTTCTATTTAATACGTCTTGTGATGATGGAGCATCTCACTGTCCCTCTCTTAACCAATGGGCTCTCGAGCTGATTGCGAAAACTCTCTCTGGCTGTCTCCTCTCTTCAGTGACAACCAGGAAAAGATGATCTACTTCCTCCTCCTGGACCGTAAAGAGAGATATCCCAGCCACGAGGACCAGAACCTGCCGCCGCGCAACGAGATCGGTAGGTCACAAAAAAAAACTGCACATGAAGGCACCGCTGACTTGTACACAAATCCACACTCCAGGAACATTTGACGGAAAGAAACCTGGAGGTGGCTAACATTAACTACAGCTCAGGGACGTCACATTGAGCTGTGCTGCCTGGGATTCCCCTCCCGCCAGAGGAGCTGATAAACCACAACTGCATCACTGTGGTTGTTTAAAGAGCAGATGGAAATCTTCTATTTGTTGACCTCCGGTAGTTGAAGACGAGCCGATGCAGCAGGAGGCAGGAGAATGAGTTGACAGACATTCTTTACATCACCTCTCCAGCAAATAAAACGCCGGGAAAAGGGGAAGCAACATAAATCAGATGTGACTGATAAAGCAAATTTATTTGGTAATGAGGAGATAGAATAAAGATACAATCAATGATTAAGAGGAAGTGAAAGAGGGGTGAACGGGTGCTGCTAAATCAAAGAATTAAATATAACAAAAAGAGGACTCTATATAAACGAGTTGTTTTCAAACGGACTTTCTAAAGCAAAAATAAAATGGAAAGAGAAACCTGTCTATCTGTGTAACATAGGAAACAGCAGCCCTGTTTCTAGTGGCATTAACACAAGAAACTTTCCTGCAGCTGCAACAATATTACATTATTTTCCACCTTTCAAATGCTCCAAAGTTTAAATAGACTTTAGAGAACAGTGGGGAGTTCAGGGAGCGTTGGACTGCGGAGCTTTCCCTAGCAAATAGACAGAGCCAGGCCAACACTGCCTGAGTGTTTAGCTCCACTGGTAGATTATATATTTCCTCTTTTATTCATGACATTCCCTTGACTTTTAACCTTGGATGAAATAAGCAGTTGTTAAGATAAAAAAAAGAAAAGAAGGTTCATTTTCTTTAATCACTGACTTTTGTTTGTTTGGTTTCTGACTTGTTTCTTTTTGTCTTTCCTTCCTCGACCTTTGACCTTCTGTCCTCGCCCTGAACCCGCTCAGCAGACCCTCCCAGGAAGCGCGTGGACTCGCCCATGCTGAGCCGCCACGGCAAACGGAGGCCGGAGAGGAAGTCCATGGAGGTGCTGAGCGTCACGGAGGGCGGGTCTCCCGTACCGGTACGGCGAGCCATCGACATGGCGACACACGGTCAGAGGTAAGAGGTGTGAAACCTGCACGTGTGGTCATGAGCATGGACAGACATGTTTGACACACGCAGGTCAGTCCAAGAGATTTGCTGTTGTTCGGAGTGTTATTGATGATTATTGTGATCAGTTATCAGTTTGATAAATAATGTATTTAACCCCAGGGCAGGGGGGACAGAGAGGGGGGAGGAGGTGCAGCTCTTTTCAAATTCATGACACATGTCGCCGTCTGTTTTGACCACGATACAACCTCCACTGTGAGGTCTGTCCCTCGCTGTAAACCCCTCCCTCCGCCGCTGACCTGACGTTAAATACATGACGCATCTTTCTCTCTGTGCTGGTTCAGGATGTACAGACGAGGCATAAACTCCTCCCATCTCAGACGCTCTGCCAGAGACTAACGGCGCTCTCTTAGCTCTGGCGGACGGTCACATTGTTCAATTGTTGAAATGCATGAGCGGGACTCTGAGGTTTGTGCGCTGTGTGTGTGTAAAGTGTGCATGGAGCATGCAGTCAAAGAGGACAAGAAGCATCTGTAAACCTGACATGTGTTTGGCAAGTTGGTGCTTAAAGTTACAAAAAGAGAGAGTTGTAATTTTTTAAAGTATCTGAAATACATGATTAAAATCCTGTGAAGGTCCAAATAAATAAATTCTCGTAAAGATAAAAAGCCAAGAACGAAGCCTGGACACTCTTCACTCTGCATGAACTCCTGATTACTGCATGTGATCAATAACGGAGAAGAATCACCGCCATTAGAGGAAAGTCTCACCAGGGTCTTTTCTCTCAGTATTTACTGAGCAGCTCATGCTAATCGAGTTTCTGTATGTTTTAGCTCATTTACTACAAATTACTGAACTCTGGAGCTTTACATCTTCCGTGTGTTGTTCCCTCTGAGCTGGCAGCTGTTTGTAGCAGTTCATTTCCATATGTCTGAAGGGTCCCTGGCTGGAACTGAAGCAGCTGTTAATGTATGTGGTGTAAACACTAAAACACTAACTTGTATTCTTTGGCATAAATAACAATAACAAGTTGTTCGGCCTTAGAAATGCAGGAAAACCTCATTTTATTCTTTGCTCAGTAAAATCTCGTAATTTAGGTAATTTAAGTTTAACTTACAGTCACACTAAACATCCAGTTGATCGTTTACTTAACTCTGTTTAAGAATTATTGTTATCTTATTTGCATGTTTCCCAGCATGCATTGCATTCAGGTTAACTTTCTTTTAATCTAATCTGATGTAAGTCACATGACGGAGGCCATTAGATTTGTTTTTATACGTGTCACGTGGTCTTTTCTCTGATCAGACACTTCCTGTAGTGTAAAAAAATTAGATTTTGGAGGATCTCAAAGCCTGAACTTAAGAAATGAAATCGCCTGACTCTTTGAGTATTTTCAGCTTTTGCTTATTGCTTATTGATCCAGAGCTTTCTCATCAACAAACCATCATGATGATCACTGTAATGGAAGATTAATAGTCTCAACGTGTTGGTTTTCAATGCTGACGGAAAATAATGGCTGCTACAGAGTTTCAAAATACAAGTATGCTCTATGTTCTTGACAGGTAAGGACGCCTGTCCACAAAATCATTTACCAAGTGTTTTTAAAGTATATAAACTTTTTTAAAAGTCGTTTTTCAAAGTGTTTGAAGGACGATAGAAACACACAGAAACAGAGCAGCAGGATTCAACTGCGACAAAAAAAAAAAAAACGATATGAGGCGAGAATCTGATCATAAAGTGAAGAGTGATGATGTAAAAACACACGTACTTAATAAAAGATAAAACAGAGGATTAAAAAGAAAAAAACATGAAAAGGTAAAAGGATGACATCACAGCGGTCGATCTGAGCCTCGGATCTGCATTCATGTGGACGGTGTTAGTGCCTCTGAGCAGGGCAGTCACAGCTCTGCCATATTCATCAAGACCAGACAAAAAGAATTACCTTTCACCTCCTGCACGAGCGGCTTTGATCCCACAGTCTGCGCAGTTCTGACAGAGGAAGAAAGGAGAGTTGTTTCAGAAGATAGTTTTTCATTTAACCTTCACATTTATTTAAACTTTTAACTAGTGAAACCCACGAGAATAAAGCGCAGAAGTCGCACATAAGAGTTTATATATATGAATCCAGTCAGTGGCGCCGGCAGGATTTTATTTCATAGCACACGCAGACCAACCGACAGCAGCTGAATACCAGGCTACAATATCGCATTATATACTTTATTTATCCCAGAGAAACGTGCAGTAAAAGTCGCAATTAAGCAACTGGCTCGTTCATTTAGCAGCTTCACCATCATAAGAACAGTTGTCTAACTAACCACTAAAGACAGTAATAACAATACGCAACATCAAGATCCAAACAAGCTGCTACAATAAACAATCAAAAAACCACATGAGGCAGTAAAATGAAAGTTTATTCTGCATCTGAGCGTTACATCGCATCAGTTCCAGTATCTGATGATGATGGATGTTTAAACCTCATCTCCTGCTCTCCTCTTCCATCTAGACTCCTGACGTCAGTGAGTGGACGCAGCCACAGAATAAGACGGGATCCGCTTTAGTCACAAAAAGACAGGATGTTGAGTTAGAGAGGAAATAATCCGCTCACACGGACTGAGCACCTGACAGGTCGAGTTAGGGAACAACGGAGCGAGGATAAAGATGGAAGCCATGAAGATCTGGTGATTAACTCTAATAAAACTGAAGCGTTATGTTTTAAATCTTTCCACTGCGCTGCTGTTTGAAGTGTTTTGTTTCATGCTAAAGAAACATGAAGGTGACACGTCGGCAGATTTTAACCCGGGAGGACAGAAACACCTGACGTGATGTTTATAGTGATGATTGAATTTCAAAGTGTTTTGATCCAAATTGGAAAAAATGAAGCGTTTAGAATTTGTTCCAGCGCTGACTTCTTTTTCCATAGCGACGCTGGCAGACGCTCATGGGTAATGTAGTATTTAAAGCTATCCACCACAATGATGTCACAGACACGTCGCTCAGAAAATAAATAGTAATAATTAAAACAGATGGTTTTTATCTAATTAAAAAAAAGGTCAAATGTGTCACAACAAACCTTTATAAAGGTAATATACATGCATTGTTGTGCTGCAGATACACCCCGGCCTACAGATCAGATCCTCCACACGTAAAGGAACGTTTGTTTGTTACAAGACAATTTTTATATTTTTTTCAGTGAAAATAAAAGCGCAAAAATGACCATTGCAACTAAAGTTGTGATTCATATCTGCCAAAATAATTGAAATCAGATTTTTTTTGCAGCCCTAGTCATAACATAAATCTATAATATTGTGAAATCATCCAAGAGACAAAATAAATTCACACTGAACACATGGTTGTAGAGGTTTGGTGACACTGTAACCGCTAACACGCTAGCCAGCGGGGGAACATGCTAGCACCAGTCCGTCACAATAGCTTCACTGCTTCTTGTTTTCAGGATTGTGCTTCATTTAATTCAATAAAAAGTTACAGCAGCAGGTAAAAGGCTTCCTGTCGGTGAGCTAGCTCTTTAGCTTTGGTTGCTAACTGCACAGTAAGATGAGACAGTTTACTCTTTCGGTTTATACTCAGTTCTTCGTGCCCTCCGCTGCCTTGGATTGACTTGGGCGATATCCAAAATTTAATATCTCGATACAGCTCAAGCACAAATATCATAATATATTGTTCAATATTTTTAGCAGTTGTTGTAGTGGGTTGTATTTTATGTTTCTGTTGTTTATTTTTTAGATAATGAACAGTTATAATTATTGTATTTTTGCTGCCACTAAACAGCAGTTCAAAGTTCTATGTCTCACATGCCTGAGGTTCAATGTACAATAAGCAAAGCAGTGAAATGATCAGACCTTCTCTCAGTCATTCAGTTTTATGGAATATCAACTGAAGCAGAGCCGTGGATCAGTCTCACTCTCAGATTGTGACGTCGTGTTTGTGGTAACGACCGAGGTTTGGACTGAGGTAGAAAAACACTGATCCTCCTGATTCTCACAAACACGAAACTGATCGTTGACTTTTATTTTCCCGCTGCGACGCGGCGCCTGAAGATCAGCTGCGCCCAGCAGGAGTCGCCCGATGTGCTGTAGCAGCAGGTATAACGGCCTGTTCGGCCTCTGCTCGCTGACAGAGATAATAAAGCCGAACATCAGACGCGTTCGGAGATGAAAACACGCACAGATAGTTTCTTCACAGCGACGGAGTCTGTGAACGTCCCACTGACTCCAGCATGACCCATGAATGTGCTTCCCCTCCTGGGTTTTGTCTCCTGATTTCTGAGTCCATGCATGTGTGAGGTTTTTGTGTTGCTCTTTGTCTCATGGTGATCGTGTTTGTTCCGCAGTGATAAGTTAGTTTTGTTTGTTTCTTTGAGTGCTGCATGCTGTATCTTAGGATTCCCCTTATGTGACTGCCTTTCTGTCTGTCTCCTGATTTTCTGTCTGCCCCTTTTTAGCAAATCTGTTTTCAGTAAAAGCTTGGATATCACAAACGCTAACTGCAGCAAGGAGGAAAGGTATTGGTCTGCTCCGTTTGTTCCTCCGTTTGTACGTAGAGTCAACTCCATTTTGTTCCTTTTGATTTTCCCATCCATTAATTTAGTTTCCTGTGTTGTCTCCAGTGTCGGCTGTAGTTCTTTACACGTGTTTGTCTTTCACTTTTAAATGTTGCATGTCATTTTTCCTAAAACGTCTCTTTGTGTTAGTAAACTGTAGAAATCTGTCTTTTACATTTTTACAAAAGAAGCAAAATTCAAACTTTTAAAAACATCACAGATCAAATCCAGTCAAAAAAAAATCTCTACAATCTCCAGAAAAACACAAAAAAATATGTCAGGATCATTTCCTATGTTGGAACTACCTGAAATAAATGTCAGTGTCTGTTTAGTGAAATGAAAAATAAAACCTCACGTCGTCAATAGAAACAGGAAATCTGCAGATTATATCAGAGCCCTGACAGAGCAGCGCAGTAAAAACCCCAAGAGGCAAGTGATTTTTTTTTGTCTTTTTTTCACTAAGAAACAAACAAACAAAAATTTTCTTTGCAGAATTTAAAAAAAATTTTTGTGAAATTTTCTTTTTATTTTCAACTATGACAAAAACCCCTGAGAGGCAAGTGAAAGAAATATTTTGGGGGGGCAATCATTTTTCAATTTTTCTTTTTTTTTTCCTAAAAACAAAATCACTTGCATCTCGGGGGGGGGTGGGGGGGGGGGGGGGGTTTTAAAAAAAAAAAAAAGAGAGAAACTTAGACAAACAATAGAAATTACCCATGATGCATATTCCTAAATGTAGATGTGTTTCAAACTCCTAGCATTAGAAATCATAAATTGAAGTGTGTCTCTCGTGACCTCCAGGATGGGAAACACCAGATTTATATATATAATATATAATAATAATATGATATAATTAATATATCTGTTATCTGACCTGTGCCACGTCTGAGCAGAACATCACAGTAAATAAAGCTGGTGTGTCACGTTTCAGCATCAGAGGATCCAAAAAACAAACCCGCAGCAGAGCAGTCGCACTGACGCTGACGCTGGATCAGTGTGTTCGCTGTGAGAGAGAAGCAGCAGAAAACGATCGACTCTGTGAAATCAGAAAAATAGCACACTCTCCCTCTCTGCACCCACTTCCTCTTTGACGTTCCTCCCTCGGCCCTCGGGGGGCGAGGAGGAGAATTTTTAGGTCAACTTTCTCGGCTTCCTTCTCTCTCGCTCCCCCTCCTTCCCTCAACCTACCTCCACTCCTCATTGTCAGCGTGTGTGTGTGTGTGTGTGTGTGTGTGTGTGTGTGTGTGTGTGTTTATATTTGTTTGTACTCTGCCGGTCTGTTCTCTGAGTGAAGCATGGGGAGGAGGAGGGGGTGATGGTGGGTGTGATTTTCAGCCTTGGTGCCGTCTCCGGCCTCCCTGTGTGGCTGACCTTCTGCAGGAGAAGCTCCGTTTGTCGATAGATGCGCGGCCCGGCGGAGATTAGCATAAATTAATTGCCAGGAATGCAGATGGAGCACAAACAGGAGATGGAAATGAGTCTTCCACTCCCTCTGAATAGCCCTTTATCTCCCTCATCATCTAATTGGGGAGATCCATAAAATGAAGCTTGTTGCGTCCTCCGCCGACACTCCCTCTCTCACACTCACCACCAGCGATGAGCTGTGAATTCATTTTCAGATTTCAAAGAGGAGCCGGCTCCAGCTTCCTGCTCGTGGACGGGATGGTCGTCACAGTTAATGAGTTGAATGTTAATAGAAGCCGCTCTCTGAAGAGTCCGACGGTGGAGAGTCTCCTCGCCGTCATTTATCCAGGGCTGTTGCTGTTGTTGTTGTTGTTGTTGTTGTTGTTGTTGTTGTTGTTGTTGTTGTTGTTGTTGTGCGCCGGCAGACACACAACTCTCCCTCAGCACTTCCTCAGTGTTAGTCCACACAGCAGATCCAGCAGATTGACTCTCAGCATCGCTCACAGGAAGAGCAACTCATATTAATGTGTATTTAAATTTTATTAGTTAAAAGTGAGACAATTCATCCACAACAGACCTCAGTTTATCCATTCAGCTTCATTACGAAACGACAAAACTCAAAAACTTCATTTCTTAAAGACTTAGTTTGACACTTTCGACTTTTAGACCTAAGCAGTCATTAGCTTAGCTTAGCTTAGCTTAGCTTAGCTTAGTTTAGCTTAGCTTAGCTTGAGCTCTGGACTGGAGGTTGTCAGACAAATAGTTCTTCAACAACTACAACTTGTTACTTATATGAAGACACATGAAACCTGCAGACTCAGACCTCGTGCAGCTCTTGAATACGATCAATATCAGAAGAGAAGCTCATGACTGATTTTACTTCCACATATTGGTATTAAAATAATAAACCGAGAACCGAGAATCTTCCTCCTCTCGTCATAAAGAAAATAAATGTAAATATCAATATATTAAACTATTAAGATAAAAAGAGATTTGAGAGTTTCGTTTTTCCACCCATTAATTTAGTGCGTTAATTTCCTGTGTTTCCCCCAGTGTGGGCTGGAGTTCTTTTAAATGTGCCGTGTCATTTTACCCTAAAATGTCTCTTTGTACAAGCAAACTGTAGAAATCTGTCTTTTACATTTTCACAAAAGAAGCAAAATTCAAACTTTAAAAACATCACAGAGCAAATCCAGTCAAAAAAAATAAAAAATCTCCAGCAATCTCCAGAAAAACACAAAAGAAATGTGCCAGGATCATTTCTTATCTGAGTCAGTGTCTCGTTTAGTGAAATGAAAAGTGTTGCCTCATTCAATAGATACAGGTCGAGTTATAACAGAAAAAAAATGCAGGAAATGTGAAGATTATGTCAGAGCTTTAGAGAAAGAAGTGTCACTAAAAACTACAATGTTTGTCTGCAAACTGACAAACTGTGAAACGTGGCGACCGTCCCGTCGTAGTCCGACCAGCTCCACCACAAACCATCTCAGTAAATTATAATTAATAATATGATAATTATATAATTAAAATTAAGAAACCTGTAGGATCTGAACTGTAACGTGACAGCTTGACTTTTAGTGACGTGCCAGTGTCAGGAGTCACCAACAAGCAGCTAAAGAACTAAACTGAAACACTGGGTGTAAATAAACATCATGAAACTGACGGGGGCAGTTTCACCCTGTGAGACGTCAACGTGAAGGGACGGCTTCTGTTGGTTATAATCTGCCTCATGATGGGTTGTTCAGAGAGAGAAGAGGGAGAAAAAAAGGGGGGAAATAATGACGATAATGAAAATGATATTAGAAGGAACAAAAGTAGCAGCGTTTTACCATCGAGCTCCATCACGGGTTAGAGCAGGAAACAGTGTGAAACTGTCTCCAATGACGACAGTGCAGCTGTGAAAACTGATTTAATACCACTGATGTCATCCCTCCTACGTGTGTGTGTGTGTGTGTGTGTGTGTGTGTGTGTGTGTGTGTGTGTGTGTGTGTGTGTGTGTGTGTGTAAAGGGGGGGGGTCATATTTAGGTATGATTTACTGTTTTCATTTTTCACTTCCAACAAAACCAAATTGTTTATGGGCAATTAAATCCCAAAGTCTTCAAAGACGTCAGCAGGCCTGCATGATTTTTGGTGAAAAGTCTGTGTGTGTGTGTGTGTGTGTGTGTGTGTGTGTGTGTGTGTGTGTGTGTGTGTGTGTTGATCCAGAAAAAAAAAAAAGACGACATTTGGGAAAAACAGAAAAAGAGATGAAAAGTTAATGACACGTGAATGAAAAATGGAAAAGCTCATGAAGAGAAGAGAAACAGCGCTAATGAATTTTACAGTGTGTGTGTGTGTGTGTGTGTGTGTGTGTGTGTGTGTGTGTGCGTGCGGGCGCACGCTATAATGCTGACGTGTTTAACTCCGGATGTTCCTCATGTTTGAGAGTCAGTGAATGTTACAGGAGTCACTAGTTGTGTGGCAACTGAGCTTTGACTCTTTTATCCAAAGACACACACACACACACACACACAAACAGGAACTAATAAGAGTTTGTAAAAACAGCAGCAGATGATCTGTCGTCATCTGAGTCTCTTCTCTCTGCCTCAGATCAGATCAGCTGTTTCCATGTGTTTCCGTGTGTGTGTGTGTGTGTGTGTGTGTGTGTGTGTGTGTGTGTGTGTGTTGTTGTTGTTGTTGTGTGGTGCAGTGTTTTGTGTGTGTAGTGATCTCACTTTGTGTGTGTTTGTGTGTGTGTAGATCGCGGTCGATCAGCGGAGCGTCCTCCGGTCTGTCCACCAGTCCTCTCAGCAGCCCCCGGGTAAGTGTCCGTCTCTCCCACGCACTGATTGGTTTTCCCACAATGCACTTCACTGGCCTGGCTCTGCTGGCTGTCCTTCACTTCAGCCTCTCATCGGCAGCTCATGCTCTCCACTGTGGACTTCATCATCAGCCTGTGTGACGTACAGTAGAGCCTCAGTCAGGTCGAGTCCATCTTTATCCAGACGCTACAGAAACACCTGCAGAGAAACAGGAGAGAGTTAAATATAGAGTCACAACAGGTGAGGTAATGTAGGAGTTAAAGAGACATTTATTTCAGTGAAGACAGTAATGATAAGCAATATTCTAAAAGTCTTTTAATAAATATATAATAACAGAGTGAAAATAAAAGGTCTAAAATATAAATATATATGTATAAAAGAATAAACACTTCTGCACAAATGATTATAATCATCTAAAAACATTAAGACGTTAAATTTGAACTCTGTCTTATTAATCATAAGAGGTGAAAACTCTCAGGATGAAGCTAAGACAGTGACACCAGTGTCGACTCACACAGTTTATTCAGGTGGTGACGCTGCTCAATGTGTAATTATGAGAAATATCAAAGGTTGGATTCTCCTTTGATTTCCTGTGATGACATAACAGACATGTGCAGTGAGCGGCATTGTTATCAAGGCTGATGTTTCGCAGATTTTACCTGATGAAAATATAAACGCTCACAGAGCTGAGAGCGTCACAGGGTGAATCACCGGCCGCCGCTCGTCCTCTCATCAAGGTCGTGATGCGACCTGGCCGTGGCTCTGAGTCAGGCCCCCGCTGTACGTCACAGAGCTGCAGATGAGGGCGGGGGAACCGGATCTAGAGATTAATGCCCACACAGAGCAGCTTCTCAGAGGAGCTGAGGAATCCGTCCGTCACTCTCGGGAGGAAGAGCTCAGCAGAAAGGTTAACAGTGCAAATCAACCTGCAGCTCCTGCAGCCTCCGTCCGGAGCTGCAGTCTGAAGCTCCGCCCTCAGCAAGGACACAAGGCTGTGCATCATCAAACGCTCACTCTCCTTTTCATAATGAATGTGATTGTTTTATTCTTCCAGGCGCAGTATATTCTGCCTGTCTGAATGCAAAGTGAAGAAGAGGCAGATTTTAGTCTGTAGCTGCTGTTTCATTATGAACTGTTTAAAGAGTGATGAATGAAAGTCATCAGGCCTCATGCAAGAACTTTTTCCTAAACTTTTCTCAACCTTGTTTTGTCAGTGAGGTTTGATCGTACGAGTCGGATTCATCAGACTTCACACCCTCACTGTAAATCGCTTGTTTCAGCCTCCTGTTGGTGAGGAAGTGTGTTTGTGAGATTTAATCATAAGTTACTGGCAGTTCTGATTCTTCTGTGCTCAGATTTTATTCAAGAGTAAAAGGACGAATTTCAAACGAGCAGAGCTGTAATTCCTGGAATCAGCAGAGTGTCGGTGTCGGTGGTTACCTCAGCTGCCGTCGGCTTCTCGTCACAGAGACAGAACATGACATGGAGGTTTGTTCGGGCAAAGTTGTCCATGACTAAACCGCGAGGTGACAGTCGCAGAGACGGACGAGATCTTCTCCAGATATAAAACATGAAAATACTCTGATGCAGATAATAAATTGTGTCTGATATGTTTTGTTTTTTTTTGTTTACAAAAATCTAAAATCTATGAATATCCAAATATTGTTCATTTCAAAAGTTTAACTACTTCTCCCACGATTGGCTCCAGACTTCTTGTGATGTCACCGAATCCTGCAGGTTTGTCCAGGTGTTGAAGGAGATTTAAGATTTAAGAAACGTTGTCCCTTTAAGAGATAGAAGCTGTTTTCACTTTTCAAGCTCAAACACCAAAGTGAAGTAACAGTGATCGAAACAGATTTTTAATACAGAGTGAAACTTTAATTTTACATTTCAGTTTTTCATCTTTGACTTTATTCGACTGCGTCAACCCTCCGTGATGTTCGGCGCCTCGTCTGAACAATCCTCCGTCCTGTTTCCCAACATCTGCTTTCAGAGAAGCAGCAACTACAGCTTCTGTTAACTGACATGTTGTGTTTAAGTTCCTCAGTTAAAACAAGTGTTCCTCCCTCTGTACAAAGAGATCTGAACACGACTCGTACGATAAACCTGAACCTGTCACGAGAAAATTCCCTGAAAATCGTTTTTTATTTCTAAAGTGAATCTTTGTGTGAGCGGTTCTTGCATGAAGCCTGTAACACGATCTGCTAGAGAAGACAAGAGTGTGTAAGTTTGTGATTTTGGTGTTGAAACTCTTCCACACACACACACACACACGTTTCCTGCTCATTGACATGATACGAGAGCATCACCTCATGTTAATCAGTTGTCGTCATGAGAACGGACTGACGAGGTCTCTGTCTCCTCAGTGATCCGCTCATTCATTCCACAGCATTGTGCATCAGCACTGTGCATGCTCTCCGGCCGCTTTCCCAGGTGGAGGGTGAAGCTAAACCTGTTAGCTTTCGAGCTGGTTCACTTGGTGGTAATTAGGGATGCACCGATGTGTCGGACGGTAACCATAGATACGCCTCTGTCAACTCACGTCCTGGTGTGTAGGGAACGTAAAGAGTGAGTGCTGAAGGTAAATGTGATGCGTCACCTTCATTAAAGGTGGCGTCATGTAACTTCTGAAACGGCTGCATAATGCATCGTCTTTATTTTAATAATAGAAAATATATTTGACATTTTTCTTGAATTATTGAATCGTTTCGAAGAAAAACCTCAAGAATCAACATCAAAGATGGTTCATTTGTTTCCTGCCACATTTCTCAACTTTTCACCAAATTTCAAACAGATTTAGAAAATAGCTGTGTCTCTGAGTTGTGTTTTAAAAACCTGTTCAACAGACGGTCAAACAGTCTGTCGGTTCCTCTCGGTGAGTTTTAGTCTCGGTGCATCCCTACTGTTGTGTCATGAATGCTCCACTGCTGCCTCCTGATTGGCTGATCACGGTGCTAATCGCATGTTCTGTTTTCTTTCTTTCTTGCACTCTCACCACTTCCTGCCTGCTCCACCTCTCAACCTTTCTGCCACGCTCCTTTTTTTATTTTATTTTTTCTATTTTTTTGGGAATGGCCTGGCTGTGGCCTTGCTCTCTCATTGGCTGACCCTGCTGTCACGTCAAACGGTGCATGACCAATCGCAGCCCCATCGTCGGTTTTTCATCCCGCCCCAGTCCCCAGACCTGTGTCAGTCCCCCAACTGCAGCCCCACCCACTCCCCCGAGGTCCGCCTCAACGGGGTGGGGCCCCGCACGCCCAACTCCTACCAGCCAAAGATGGGGTCCCCCCTCATGCACCCTCGCACGCAGACCCTCCCCGCCAAGCCCAAAGTGTCCGAGAAGCCCCTGCAGACCACCAGGTCCAACCCGCTCCCCAACTCAGCCCAGACCCCCTCCACCCCCAAATCAGAGCCCTCCACGCCCTGCCAGTCTCTGGCTCCCTGCATCCCCAACAGCCCCCGGGTGAGACGCCACCCTCCCCTGACCGTCCCCCCAAAACTCTCCATCCCTCTCTCCCCCGTGCCTCCTATGTCTCCCCTCCGCCGCCACCACCTCCACCCTGACCACAACGGCAAATCTGTCCCCATCACGCAGGTGACCCCTCACCCCTCCCCAAGGGGGAGCCCTCTTCCCACCCCCAAAGGCACCCCAGTGCACACGCCCAAGGACAGCCCGGCTGGCACGCCCAGCCCAACGCCCCCGCCCAGCCCCTCCATCGGCGGCATGCCCTGGAGGACGCGCCTCAACTCCATCAAGAACAGCTTCCTGGGCTCGCCACGCTTCCACCGCAGGAAAATGCAAGGTAAGTGGGGGGAGGGAGGGCGGGGGGGGGGGCTGAGATTTAATGAGACTTTTGTTTATGGTTCATTCAGCTCATCAGTCTTATCTGTGTGATAATCGATTCAGCGCGGAGTGTTTGTGCAGCTGACTGTAGCTCAGGGGAATAAAAACACATCGTCTCTGCTGCTAATGGCTGAGCTCCGTTCACCTGCTGCAGCCTCGTCGTGACAAACAGCCGCCTCCGGCCACGTCATACACCAGATAACTACCTCATTACAGCGAGTGGGGGAAAAAAAACATTTCTTACTTTGCTGCGGTTTATCTCGTTTTCTTACAGCAGGAGCCGTGAACATGAACCGAACCACGATGAGTCCAAATCATTCACTCCGACACAGACGAACAGAAGAGACTTTATGTTTCTACAAGCAGGAAGTCGGAGGTTTATGTAGGAAAGAAATCACTCTGTGACCTTTGACGTCTGTTTGCATCCACAGTTCCCACCCAGGAGGACATGTCCAGCCTCACCCCAGACTCCTCTCCAGAGTGAGTAATGCACACCTGTGGATGTGTTTATTAAAACACATTTAAAATCCCATTCTTAGAAGAAAAAGGGAATTCGTGTCGTGTTTTGTACTATTGTAATTAAATTAGATGATACATTAATCAAAGGTTGTGTATGAACATTATTGTATAAATGTTTTAAACTCTCCTGTTTATCTTTTGAGATAAATGTGAAAATATCAGATGTTTCACTGAAATCGCAGCGGAAGTGTCTTTACATGAAGTTGTAGTCTAAATATTTACGCAAATACAAATCAAACTTTATATTGATTAACATGTGAAATATAAATTTGGTCCTCACACTGTCAATAGAAAATATGACTGAGTTTAATTTGTTCCGTAGTTGTTGCCTTTGGTGTTCAGTGTATAAACAAACATAGAGTTTCCGGCAGAATAAATCCACATTGTTGTGGAGAAACAGCTGATCTTGTCTGTTCTGTGTCGATGATGTCATCGCGTCTCCTCCTCGCAGACTGGCTAAGAAGTCGTGGTTCGGTAACTTCATCAACCTGGAGAAAGAGGAGCAGATCTTCATCGTGATCAGAGACAAACCTCTCAGCTCCATAAAGGCCGACATCGTCCACGCCTTCCTCTCTGTGAGTCTCTCCTCCTTTGTTCCTCTTCGTCATCCTTCATCTGCCTCTTCCTCTGTCCTCAGCTCACTTCACCGGCTTCACAGTTTGACACCGTTACAACAGTTTGAGCAAAAATCTGACAATTTTAATGAAAAATGTCTGATCACGAAAACAAAAGAGCTCATCAGCACCATCAAACTCCACCGGAGGGTAAATATATCTCCTGAGAAATTCAGAGTAAAGAAACAGTCAAATAAATATTTCTGTCTTTGTGTCTCACCCCTCACGTCAGCTCAGCTGTCAATCAAACACACACTGGCCCGCCCACTCTGAGGCTGGAGACTAAAGGAGCATTTCTGATGTTTCTGTTCTTTCTCTAATTCTATAAAACAATAGAAACGGTAATGTGTTGTAGCTGACGGTGGATGTGTGTGCAGTCAGAGACCGTGTTGTCACAGTCTGTTCACATCTGTGACGCGTTCACGTGAAGCACATCCAACACACCGTCTCCTTCTGCTGCTGTCTCCTTCCCTTACGTCCGTGCTGCATCTCAACTGATGCAGAAGTTGTTTGTCTGTGTTGCTGCTGACTCAGAGTCTGTTTACCGGCCAACACCACCTCCCTCCACCCCCTCCTCCCTCTCTCTCTCTCCCTCTCCCTCTCCCTCCCAGATTCCCAGTCTGAGCCACAGCGTCATCTCTCAGACCAGTTTCCGGGCGGAGTACAAGTCCACAGCCGGTCCAACGGTTTTCCAGAAGCCTGTGAAGTTCCAGGTGGACATCACCTACACCGAGAGCACCAGCGCCACCAAGGAGAACGGCATCTACTCCGTCACCTTCACCCTGCTCTCAGGTGAACACAGCACGCTGTTCATATATCTGATCACAGACCAGTAGACATGTTGAGCTGTTGATCTGCAGGTCAAAAGATGTGCAGGATAAAATCAGGATACATCTGGTGAAAGGGTTTCAGGTGTAACTGCTGAACTCTTAGTCAATTAATCAATTATTAATGGACAGATTTTTAATCAGGTGAAGCCAACACTTTACAAATTAAATAAAAACATCAGACACAGTATGAATACTCAAATGAAACACACACACACATAGTGCAGTATCAGTATTTTAACAGCGTAGTATCAGTATTTTTATAGTGCAGTATCAGTATTTTTACAGTGTAGTATAGGTAGTAAAACTGAAGTAAAGGATATAAGTACTTCCTCCTCAGGTCAGAGGTCACATGTTTGCTGATGTCACTCAGCAGGAAGTCTAATACAGGACTGTCACAGTGTTTCACTCTGTTGCCTGGATACTGATGATGTCATTAACATTAGAACCAAACCGTCCATCAGGTCCGAGCCGACGTTTCAAGCGTGTGGTGGAGACCATCCAGGCTCAGCTGCTCAGCTCCGACCAGCCCGGCGTCCAGCCGCAGATATCTGGTAAGTGGAGCCCCTCGCCACCCGCCCTCGACCACGCCTACACCCCCAGCCCTCCTCCTCTTCCTCCACGTCCTCACAGAACACCCCCCACCCCCCACCCGCACCCTGCCTCTCTCCCGGCATCCTGGCACTCTTCACAGCACAGCCACACCCGCGGCCCACCTCGGCTCGGACCGGCTCGGCTTGGCTCAGCTCAGCTCAGCACACTGCTTTTAGCACACAGCATCTCCACGTGCATGTCCCTGCCACATACCACCATGGCGTGCGCTCACACACACACACACACACACACACACACACACACACACAGGGCTGATTCTGTCACTTCTCCAGCAGCAGCAGCTCAGCCTCATCTGGAGTCTGACTCAGCAGAAACACAGACATTCGCTCAGAAGTTTACACATCTGTACACATCTATACACATCTGTACATGTGATCAGCTGTTACATCAGAGCACGCACAACTTTTATCTAAAGAGAAAGGTCTCAAGGTTTCAGAATACATTTGTGATGTTAGTGTATTTTCTCACATTAGTCACAGTGAACACGTGACCCCGTCAGGTCCTGACCCCCCTGATCTGACCTGGTCCGGTGTGTCGGGGCTGCCTATAGGGAGATGGATGGATTTAAAACTATGGAAGAAAAGAGAGAGTGATTGTTTGTTCTCCAGTTGTCTCTGTTAGTGTGACGCTGTAGTTCTCCTGTTGTTGTCTGTGGTTATTTACTTGATAATGGTCCCCTCTGGTGGTGAAGCAGAGTAACTACAACCCATCCACACACACACACACACACACACACACACACACACACACACACACACACACACACACACACACACACAGAGCTGCCTTTAGGACACAGATGTGTTACTGGGAGAAAACCAGTCACCTCCTCAGCTCCCACTACAGATACTGGATCTAGGTCCTGAAGTCCATAAACAGATTTCTTTTTCTTTTTTTACATACTGATCCACGTCCTGGTCTCTGATCTACGGAAGAGGATTAAAAATAAAAAAATCTGTGGAAAAAATCTGAATTCTGAGAAAAAAATAAAAACTTTTTTCCGCATGGCCCTAATCCTCTTCCGTACTGATCTCCCAGACAGACAGTGTTTCTAAAACAACAAATACAGCATCAAATGTGCTGCTAAAAGAAACAACAGAATCTGCCAGCGCAGTGAGATCATTTTAACTTTAATTAACGACTTGATGAGGCTGTGTGTTGTGGATAATATAGTCACGTCAGCTCTCTGTTCTGCTTCAGTCATTTGACATAATGTGTAAAGCTACATCACTTCCTGTGTTTCACAATTAAGTGTTTTGAATGTAAAGGAGGTAGCTGCAGGCTTTTATTGTGAAACAACCATAGGGAACGCTTGATTCAGCACCTGTTGAAGTAAAGTATCTTAAATTTAAGTTATTTCACAGAGGAAACAGGTCGTTATGACATCTGTGACGGAGGCTACCGTCCTCTCTGTGACACCTGAGCATGAACCTAAACCTGATCTCCACGAGACTTCGACTCTGGACCTGGACTGTGTCGTGAATCAGTCCCAGTAGCTGCTGCTCATTCATGTTTTGTGAATCACTGTCTGTCTGGACGAGCTCCAGCGCCAGGACTTTGACCTTTGACCCTCAACACCATCACTTCACACCACTGAACCAGTTGCACCAGTCTGACCAGTCACTGCCACAGATGGGAACTGTTATCAGGCGCTGTATGCACAACCTCAGTCACCCCCCCTCCCTCCTCCCACCATATAGATGTGCCAATAACCCACATCTCTACCTAGCTACCTCTCTCTCTCTCTCTCTCTCTCTCTCTCTCTCTCTCTCCATCAGTCCTATCCTCTCTCTCTCTCTCTCCCTCCATCAGTCCTATCCTCTCTCTCTCTCCCTCTCTCTCTCTCTCTCCCCCTCTGGCCTGCCTCTCCATGCCTCCTGCTTCTGGTCATCCACAGCTTCACTCTCACGCCACTCGGACAGACTGAATGACTCGCATGCTGAATGAACCGCCGACCCAGAACCATGCACACAGTCCGACTCAAACTGTGTGTGTGTGTGTGTGTGTGTGTGTGTGTGTGTGTGTGCGTGTGTGTGTGCGTGCGTGTGTGCGTGCGTGTGAGTGTGCATGTGAGTGTGCGTGTGCATGCTGATGGTTCTGGGTGAGCTGCCATTCACGCACTGAACTGAACGCATGCTCTATTTAACTGTGAGGAGCAAACAAACAGAGTGATTGATTGTGTTTGCAGTCTGCATAAAACCAGAGAATCTGCATGTGTTTGAAAACACCGAACAGCTGTACAGACATATGAACCTGATTACCTCTGTGAGTGTGTGTGAGTTAGCCTGTACGTGTGTGTGTTTGCACATGTGTAGACAGTGGCAGAGAAACGTCTGCCACAGTGAACGTTCAGCCCATTTCCGAGAGTCTCCTGGCTAACATTATTTTTCCTGTCATTAATTAAGTATTTATTTTTTAATTTAAAAGTATTTGCCAGGAAGAAAAACCATTAGCTATATACCATCAGCTGATTCCGGCCCCACACTGGCCCAAATGCCACTATCTGGATTCTAATTACAAGTCACAGACTGAGTTCAGATCTGTGATCAGCTGAAATTCTACAGGTTTTAGTGGCAGCTAACTTCATATGCTAACGCGACTAGCTCATCCACTTTCAGTCTTTTTGTTCCACCTTACACAACACAACACATCTGAATCTAACTGACTGAGATTCCTTCAACATAAAGGTTTAGTTGGTAAAAGTTCGTCTTTGACTTACCGGTGACCGGAACATAGAAAGTGTAAGATGATGATGATGATCATGAAAAACAGAAATATGTCAAAGGAGAGAAAATGAAACTCTGGAAAATGAGCTGAACATTCAAGTGTGTGGATTCATCCTTTGAACTGGTCCCGAGTAGACGTGCAGTGTTTTGAGCCAGTGTGCTGCTGATGTTTGACGTCAGCTGACTGTTGATGCGGCGCTGGGCCTGAGGGAGGCGGGTGGTGTTTCTGACACTGTGCTCTGCTCTCAGATGGCTCTCAGCGCTCCGCCTCTTTGCCCAGTAAATCTTCCAAGCGTGGTAAGACCCAGAGCGACCGGGAGCTCCCGGCAAAAACACCTTAACTCTGGCTTTTAACACACACTGGCCACGTCCTGGAGGCTGTCACCAACACAACCTGCACTAACACTGTGTGTGTGTGTGAGTGTGTGTGTGTGTGTGTGTGTGTGTGTGTGTGTGTGTGTGTGTGTGTGTGTGTGTGTGTGTGTGTGTGTGTGTGAGAGCTGAAAAAAATATATGTTCGTCTTAACAAGTCATTTCAGTGTGAAAAAATAAAATAAACTGTTCTGCTGCTTTATTTGGAAATCTTTTTACCTGTAGAATACATTAAGAAGAAAAGTGACAGAACCTGTAAAGGACAGACAGAAATATTATACTTATTGTTTTGTTGTTGTAGGATTCTTAGAGAAGCCAACATTTTGATATGGTGTTTTACACCTGAGAAGGAACCAAAGAAAGTTTCATCTTCTGCAGATATTCCATGACAGTCTGGACAGTAGTTATCTAGAGATGAGGAGGTACAGCTGTCTGCAAAAGTTTGATCATCCTGGCACATATACTCTGGTGATCCCACTTTGAAGCTCTCATACTTTCCTCTTCTTATGGATCAACACTTGAAATAAAACACAGAAGAAGATCTGTTTATGGTTTTAAGAACCAAAGACCATCTCAATGTAGTTTTACATCTCCTCTCTCAGGCTTCTCTCTGGAGCTCCAAGAGGATACGTCTTCAAGACAATAGGTTTAGGCCGATTTAGGCATGCTAGCGCATTTGATTTACTGGAAGGGCGGCGGCTATCTCAAGGCTCATGTCATATATGAAAATATCACAGTGGTACCGGACGTCATCAGAAAAATGTCAATTGATGTTATTTAATGATGTTAGCTAGCGTTAACTAGCAAGATAACCTTGCCTTCTGTCTTCTGTAGGCTAGCAGTCAGGTTGTTAGGAGTAAACATAAAATGGTGGATACATCGAAGTAAAAATGTCACTACTACAATACTATGACGTTTTTATACCTTACTATACTATGACTTTTATATGACTTACTATACTATGTCGTTTTTATGAATTTTATGCCTTATTGTACTATGACTTTTTATGCCTTACTACTATGACTTTTTATGCCTTACTACTATGACTTTTTCATGCCTTACTATACTACGCCTTTTCTTTGGCTTAGTATACTATGACTTTTTTTGCCTTATTATACTGACTCTATGACTTACTATAATATGACATTTTAATGCTTCACTATCCTATGACTTTATGTGTTATTACACTGTTACTTTATACCTTACTATACTTTGACATTTTTATGCCTTACTAAACTATCACTTTTTATTCCTTAGTTTACTATAATGTTTTTATGTCTTACTATACCATTACCTATGCCTTGCTATAGTATGACTTTTTTTNTTACTATACTATGACATTTTTATGCCTTACTATACTATGTCGTTTTTATGACTTTTTATGCCTTACTATACTATGACTTTTTATGCTTTACTATACTATGACTTTTCATGCCTTACTATACTATGACATTTTTAAGACTTTTTATGCCTTACTATACTATGACTTTTTTATGAGTTTCTATGCCTTACTATACTATGACTTTTCATGCCTTACTATACTGACTTTTTTATGACTTTTTATTCCTTACTATACTATGACTTTTTACTCCTTACTATACTGTCGTTTTTATGAATTTTAATGCCGTACTATACTATGACTTTTTTATGACTTTTTATGCCGTACTATACTATGACTTTTTTATGACTTTTTATGCCTTACTATACTATGACTTTTCATGCCTTACTATACTATGACTTTTTTATGACTTTTTATTCCTTACTATACTTTGACTTTTTTTGCCTTACTATACTATGTAGTTTTTATGACTTTTTAAGCCTTACTGTGCTATGACTTTTTT